GCCTGAGTTCTTTGTGTGTGTTCTGTGCATGTGAGTACTTGAATGTTCTATGTGTGAGAAGGTTTATAGTCGGATGCTGTTTGTGCACAGATGTGTAATTGGTGGGTGGGTGGGTGTTTGTGTATTTTTGAGTACGTGCGTGCATGTGGATTTGTTCTCAGATCATCAAGTGCCAGGACCTAGAGTTCTGTCAGTTAAGCTCCATTTTCCCCTTGAACCCCTACATTCTCTGACCCCAGAACGTGACTGTTGTATGGTGATCTTCTCTGTTAAGGTGGGAAACCAGGCCGAGGCTAAGGGAAGTGGGAAGCAAGGGGCAGGGGCTGTAAGTGCAGCCAGCAAGCAGAAGCCACTGTGGGAGAAGAGGCCAAGAGACAGGGGAAGAGGCAGGCCTTGGTCAGAGAGCCAACTTGGCCCCTGGGAACTGTGTGGTAGCTTCCAGAACCCGCCCCGAAGAGAACAGACTGTAGCCTGGGCCTTTGTAATGCCTCCCACACGGTACAGGCTGGCCTGACCAGTTCTCTAAGACCTGTACCACCCACCCTCTGAAATCTGCAAAGTTGCATTTCTCAGCTCCTGAGAGGCCACCCAGTCCCCGCAGCCACAGTGGGGCAGGGGGTGGGAAGTGCTAGGGACCAAGTTCCCAGAGGGTCCCACATAGCCTAGGTACTTTTACTTTAGCTCAGCTGGTCCTCCCTCGAACCTGTGAGGTTAATAATACAAGAAGGTAGAAAAAATGAGAGCCAATAAAATCACAGCCTTTTACAGGCTTCTTTGACTTCCATGGATTCACGTCTTCTCCTCACTTTCCCAGTGAGGTAGGAAGAGCATCCAGCTGAGGGCCTCTGGCTTGAGAAAGGCAATATGAGGCCAAGTTTGTATGAAAGTGTGGTGAGGCTCCCATAGAGGAACTGGGTGCTAGAGAAACCCCTACACTGGTATATCCCCCAACTGTGTCCTGCTTCAAGCCGTGTTCCATGAAACAGGTGCTAGTGAGCGTGTTTCTTCTAAAATTCTTTAATACGTTCATAGTCACATACCAGTTCTGAATACTCCACGACACTCAAACCTCAGGAAATGCTTTATTTCTGTATACGTATGTTATTTTATTTTTTTAATGTTATTTTTGAGAGAGAGAGAGAGAGAGAGAGAGAGAGAGAGAGAGAGAGAGAACACGCACAAGCAGGGGAGGGGCAGAGAGAGAGGGAGACACAGAATCCGAAGCAGGCTCCAGGCTCCAGGCTCTGAGCACAGAGCCCGATGCGGAGCTCAAACTCACAAACTGTGAGATCATGACCGGAGCCAAAGCCAGACACTTAACCGATTGAGCCACCCAGGTGCCCCATCTGTGTATGCATTTTAAATTTTTTTTTCAACGTTTATTTATTTTTGGGACAGGGAGAGACAGAGCATGAACGGGGGAGGGTCAGAGAGAGAGGGAGACAGAGAATCGGAAACAGGCTCCAGGCTCTGAGCCATCAGCCCAGAGCCTGACGCGGGGCTCGAACTCACGGACCGCAAGATTGTGACCTGGCTGAAGTCAGACGCTTAACCGACTGCGCCACCCAGGCACCCCTGTGTATACATTTTAAATTCAGCTCCAAGATACCACTTGCGAAGCTGGTGAGATGTCCAATGGCAGTTGTCGTTGGGGTTTCCTGCCTTCCTCCACTTGATCCTACTAGGACCCCATGATTTTGGTAAATGAGGAGGAACTTGATCCTTACTCGATGATGATGATCTTCATTTCTCTTCCTTCTCATGCTCAAGGTATTGCTGATGAATTCTGCTAACCGTTCATTGAACGGCCCTGGGCACTGGAGAACTGTTCCTCACCGGGGCTGTCATACCCAACATGGAGGCAAAGGCTGCTGGTCCCAGGACCACAGCCATGGTGGCTGTCTCCACAGTGATGACCTCCATGCTGGCAATCCTGTCCAAACACTTATCACCTCAGGGTGTTTTATCAAACACCTTGGAGCCGAACCCCCATCTTTTCTCCTGGTTGTGTGGAGATTCAACACCTCCAAATGGCAGGCAACTCCTCTCCTAAACTTGAAGCTAAACTCTTCATCCCATTCCTCCTGAGACCATCCAATCTAGCCGCCCTCCTTGTGCCTGGGCCTCTCTAATAAAGATGGGGGGAGTGGAGAGCAATCTTCAGGGCAGCCCCTGAATCTCTCTCTCTCTCTCTCTCTCTCTCTCTCTCTCACACACACACACACACACACATGCACACACATACTTTCTTCAGTTCCCCAGTAGCAAAAGAAGGCCAAGATTTAGAACACAAAATCCTGGCCCCCCTTCCAATAACTAGGCAGAAAAAAAATGATCTTTTCACTCTCTATGCTGATGCCTGGTCAAGTAAAATGGAGGAAAAAAAAATTATCAGGCAATTGCTACATTGAATTCTTAATATATCACCCTGCCACAATGTCTGTTCCAAAAATATTAAGTACATTTGTATAACTGATCTCATTAATATGTAATGATTTTGCTTTTAAGGCAAAGCATGACGTCCACAACGCCTCCAGACATTCAGAGAAGACACCGCCTGACTCACGCAAGTGTATATTTCAGTTTGCTCGGCCATAATGGAAGCATCCACCAATGACCATCACAGTGATGGGTGATGTAACTGTAGCCACCCCTGCTAAGTGTCTCATCTTATAATCTCAATATGTATCTCTAGTAATATTCCGTGGTTATTGAGTATCAAACATTGATACTATTCCAATGTGAAGCTATGCCCTAAAGAGGAAATGCTCGTGTACCATTCCCGCTATTTTAAGCCAAACAGAGATCTCATTAAGTCAAAACTCTTCAACTAATATTGCTTGAATACTCGATTTGTGCTAGATTCTGCTCTGAGATACAGAAAATAAATCAGCCGCGGTCTTCATGGGGGTGACAGTCTATTATGAACACACACTCTGAGCAAATATAAGTACAGGTGTGGTGGGTGGGTAGTGCAGAGAAGTGCAGGATCCAGGTGGCAAGGCCAGGACTAGGGGGAGGTGAGGGAGGTGCCCAGGAGGCACTCATATGACCCTGAGACTGAGGGCCCCTGACGGGTTGCACCTTAGGCACCTCCCCCTCCTCCCCCTAGTTGTGGCCCTGGCAGGTCTGAAGCCACTGTAGGAGAAGTCCAGGCAAGGCTCCAGATGTCCAGTGCCAGGATGGCTATGCTGCTGGTAGGATCCTGGAAGATTGTTTCTGCTGCCCACTCTCCCTTGGTCCTACCAAGCCCAGTTCAATTGTCGGGACTTCCAATCAGTTCTATGAGCTACATAGCATCCTGACAAGAAATGTCCTTTCTGCTTAAGTCGGTCTCTGATGAACTCAAGCCATTACATCCAATGACAAATTTAAGGTGCGTCATCATCAAATATGTTGAGGAACGTTGCTGTATTCCATAAAGAACCCTTGTGACATTGGGCACCAGGATGTGGGACAATCGGACATGGCAGAGAGATGAAAAGATCAGTGGCAAAACTCAAGGCAGGAGGTCTGGGTTGGGAGAAAGAGGGAGGAGGCCAAGGAGGGACTGAGCCGAGGGGGTAGCCCTGAAAACAGATTGAACACTAATCGACTATTCAATCAATATTAGTTGAACAATTTTGACTTAATGAGATATATGCTTGACTTACAGGGCCCCTCCCCCTCCAAAGACTCAAGGGGTGATGATGGCAGACCTGTCATGAGAAGTGAACAGGAAGGCATCCTGTCTTTTTTTTTTTTTTAATTCAAGTTAGTTAACATACAGTGTAATCTTGGCCTCAGGAGTAGAACCCAGTGATTCATCTCTTACATATGACACCCAGTGCTCATTCCCAAGAGTGGGAGAGCATCCCAAGTCTTCCTGGGAATCGAATGTGTGCTGGATTCTGTCCTGGGTGCTTCCTACCTGTGATTTCATTTCATCTAATGACACCCCTGTGCCTTGGGTGGGATGGATCCTCACTTTAGAGAGGAGAAAATAAAACAGAGAGGCTTAAATGGCCTGCCCAGCGTCATGCAGCAGATATGTGACTCAAGGACTTGAACCCAGATCTTCTGATCCTGAATCCAGTGTTCAAAACTGTTTGACACGTCTGGTGATACTTAGACACTGAGGCTGGAGGTTTTCATGAAAAAAAAGGTGTGCTGGGGATGACTGAGTCAAGCCATAGGCTGAGGCCAATTTTAGTGTATGAAGGGACTGGATGGTAAGTAGGTGATGCTGAACAGAGCTTCCCAAGTCAGAATAAAGAATCAAATCCTTTTTGATTAATCAGATAAGTAGCAAGGGCTGGGAACACTTGAGATCGTGACCCAAATCATGGGGCTGGTAATGGGAAAATCCCCACTGTCTCAGTTCGGGATCAGTCTTAGAAAAAGACTAGCGAACAGTTCAAGATCATGTGGCCCCCACTGGGAGGAAAGGAAAAAGATGAAGTGGGAACCCACGTGGGGCCTGATACCTGCTCTCTGCAGGTGGAAGAAAACTATAAGACACAATCCAGGACTCCCTAACGGGGTAGAACTGGGGGTGTTATCAGGGGAGAGCAGTCACAGCCTTTTGGGCTGAAAGTAGAGAAAACGAAGCAGCGGGCTAAGAATGGGTTCTCATGTTCATCACAGATTCTTGCTTGCCTCCTCGACTTACCCTGAAACACCCCGAGATTCGGCCCCCCAAACCTGCCGTAGCCTGTATCTCGACTCTAAAGCTACACTGTCCAGCACGATAACCACTACCCACATTTAGCTATATAGATTAGATTAGATTGGATTCAATATTCAGTCCCCCTGTTACACTAGCCACATTTTTTTTTCATGTCCTCATCGAGCTTACTGATTGTGGGGGGTGGGGGAGGGAGGATATAAATAACAAATCACGTAATATGTACTTGTGGAATGATTTAAAAATCAAATGCTCTATGTTTGCATTACTGTCCCCCTGCCCCCCCCCCTCCCCCCCCCCCACATTGACTTTATACGTACCCACATACCTTTAGAAAACATAGCATTGGTTGATGTTTTGGTTTCTATTTCAGGGGACGTCTTTCTTTTTTTCACCCCACAATATGTCTTGCAGCGTTAGGTAGATTGACATCCTCTTTTTTAAGTGAGACGTAGTGGTCATCGGTATGCATACTTCATTTCCGGGCTAATGGGCATTTAGAATGTTCTGGGGTTTTCCTTTTGCATTACAAACAAGGATGCAACAGGCATCTCCACCCACTCACTCGCCACATCTCAAATGGCCAATAGCCACACGTGGCTAGTAAGCTACCATATTGGACACCGCGGAGCTGGGATGTTTCCATCATTATAGAAAATTCTCCTGGCAGTGCTGACTCTAGAAAACAGGAGTCAAATGGGTAGAATGAACACTCCTTATGTACATCATCTGGGCTGAACTGGGGGCCAGCAGGCTAGGAGCTAGGTGCCAAACAGACTAACCTACTGGTCTTCCCTGTTCTGTCTCACCTGCACGCACACCTCTCTTTGTTCTTGATTTGTAAGTTCAGTGAGGCGGAGCTACCAGGCACAAATGGGACAGTCGAGAATGATTTCGTAGAGCCGTGGGCTCCGATGAGGTTGGGCTCAAAGTCGGGCGAGATGGGCCAGACTGCAGAAGTTACTCCAGGCTTCCGGTTGGCGGCAAGGATCTAGTTTTGACAGGTACATGCTTGGGGTTGACACAACACTTAGTCTCATCATTGCATAAGAGGTAGAATACTTCACTGTCTTTACACGTTCTTCTGCACCTTCCCAACTTTTTCCAGCAGTGCCTGGCTGGAATTAAAAAGGAGGGAGAGGACGGGGTCAGTCCTGAAATAAAGCAGAGGGCTGGGGAAGGGGGAAGGCACCCCGGCAGAGAAGACAGTAGTAAGGAAATCAGGAGATGTGCGGGGAGGAGTATTGGCCATTCTCCTTTCTTCTCCCATTTGTGTCGTCAGTCACAACCCCGAAGTCCTCCCCAGGAGGCAGCTTCCTCTCCCTGGCCAGCTCCTTTGGGGGAGGCAGGAGCCTTCCCCCCCCCCCCCACTAGGTTTTGTCTCCCTCATAATACAATGTAACCAGGTACCCAATATCAGTTACTTTTTCCCTTTGCCCTCAGTCCCCTCTCTGACCCTATCAATGAAACGGGACAGGAGTCTGAAATACACCCATCTGGACATCTGCAAGTTTTCTAGGGCATCTGCAAAACTCCCAAGAATGTAGCACTCCCTCCTCCACAACATCCTGGGCCTTTTTGTGCGTCTTAACCAGCCTAGATAATTAGCTGCTCTGGGGGACCCACAGCCTAGAGTGGCCCAGATAAATTAAAATTGCCTGAGAACGGTATCAGAATCCTCAATCAGAAATTCAGGAACCGTTTTCATGGAGGCAACAATAGCTCGAAATCCAAATCCCCCCCGATGTTCTTAGAAAAGTGCCCATTTCCTCCATATTCCACGCCTGCATCTCTCTCCTCCGTGTACCCTCTGCCCAGATCATCATGTTCCACTTCTCCAAAGCACACCAGGGAAGATCAGAGTAGTCAAGTAATAGCACTGGAAAGATCAGCTGGTACAAGGGAACTCAAATTTTCCCCTGGCTACAGAGATCGTCCAGAGGCCTCCAAGGAGGCTGCCATTGTCCTAGTCCAGGCTGTTAGAGCCCCCAGAATTCGCTGAACATGACCCACTCCCGCTTGGGAGAGATCCTATTTACCTTGGGTAACCTGGGGCAGGAGCAGGCTAACAGTCAAAACCAGGAGAATACGCTTCATGAACGCTGAGGGCTCAGGGGGAGATTAGGAGGCTTAGAGGCTTCTGGGCTGGCAAGACTCGCAGAGGTCTGCATTCTGGGCAGTCCAGACCGGTATTTATTGCCCCGAGAAGCATGGCAGAGCCATGATCAGTGAACCAGAAAGGGAACAGTCCCTTAGGATTAGACAAGCAGACAAGTCATCAACCACACTGGTTGAATGGCCGCCGGATACCCCACCCTTGTCTAAACCTCCAGGGGAGGCTGGGACAGGGGGAAGAGACGTTAACAAAGAGAAGACACAGCCTTACCTTCGAGGACGTTTGCAATGTAACTGGGGAGCCAAGAAGGGGAAAAAATGCTTTCGCTAGTCATTCAGTTCTGGTAAAAGAAAAGAAAGGGCAGTGAGACCGAAAAGGAGTGATACTTCTGTGTCCCTTGGGTTCTCTCCAGCAATAAGAACATCTTAGGATGTCTCATACGTTGGGGATTCATTTTGATGGTAAAGGAAGGGCATGGGGCGCCTGGGTGGCTCAGTCAGTTAAGCGTCCGACTTTGGCTCAGGTCATGACCTCTCGATTCGTGAGTTCAAGCCCTGAGTCGGCCTCTGCGCTGACAGCTCGGAGCCTGGAGCCTGCTTCAGATTCTCTCTCTCTCTCTCTCTCTCTCTCTCTCTCTCTCTCTCTTTCTCCTGGCCATCACTACTGGAAACTAAAATGTCAGACTTTGTGGAGTGGGATGAGGAGGAAGGCCACAGCCCCGACTTTTAACAGCGTGTGTTTGAGAACAAGTGGCATCCTCCTAGGTGGCAAAGGAAAGGCCACTTTCTCCCATTGCGGTGTTTCCTATAATCTATGGTAGACTGCATTACCGACCCCAATTTTACACCCCTATCTGAATCCATTTCGAAGGTCTCATCCCGGGAGGAATGCACTTCCCTGTCCCTTCACTTTTGTCTGGGCTGTGAGACTTGCTTTTTATTAGCCAGTGGCACATGGCCAGGAGTGACAGCGTGCCAGTTTTGAGCCCACACTTTAAGAGGCGATGACCGTTTTTACTGCCCTTTAGCACCTCAGCCATCACCGTGAGAAACACGCGCCCCAGTGGTCCAAAGACAATGAGACATCACGGAGCAAAGCCACCCCGGCTTGCCCACGGAGCTGCAGTGAGAAATTAAGCTGTGCCTGCTACTCCAACCCCAAGCAGAGCAACCCAGCCAAAGTCCAGCTTCCCCACTGACTCGTGAGCCATGATCAAGAATGCCGTGTTAAGACCCTGAGTTTGGGAGTGGGAGGAGACATAGTAATGGCTTAGACATACATAAAGCCAGCAGACAGATCAGAAAACAGCCAAATCAAATGCTTTTTAGCACAGTAATGGAAAGATCTATCATTTCAAAATGGGCAGACACAAGGGCACATTAACAGGAGGCATGTCTCCTTTCTGATACAGAATAAGACCGTTGTCTCCAAGAAAAACGAATGCTCTAGACAAGGGGCCATCAGACCTTTTTTGTAAAGGCCCAGATAGTAAATATTTCCGGGTTCTCAGGCCATGCAGTCTCTGTTGCAACTACTCAACTCTGCCTTTGTAGCACAACAAGCGACCACAGTGTGTAAACAAATGGGTGTGGCTGTGTTCCAAGCAAGCTTTATTTACAGGCACTGAAATGTGAATTTCATATAATTTTCCCACGTCACTAAATATTATCTTTTTTATTTTTTTTTTTCAACTGTTCAAAAACGTAAAACCCAATCTTAGCTCACGGGTCATACAAAATCAGGCAGCAGGCTGGATCCAGACTGGCAAATGTTAGAAAGCTAAATAACGCCAAATAATGACAGGGAAATGAGAATAGAGGAATATTCACGTACTGCTGGTGGGGTGTGGATCAGAGGCTGAATGACTATGAATCTCAAAGGTTCAGGGCCCCTCACTAGCTTGGACCCTTGTGAGTGCTGAGAATTCTAGAATGTTCTAGCTAAGGAGGGGAAACAAGGTTGCAATTAGGAAACATCAATAAATAGGCATTTCAGGCTGATTATCTTAAAAGATCCCAGTAATCTATTGTAATTTTGTAGCTCATTCTAAATACAGAGTCAGGGGCGCCTGGGTGTTGCAGTCAATTAAGTGTCCGACTCCGGCTCAGGTCACGATCTTGCAGTCTGTGCGTTCAAGTCCTGCGTGGGGCTCTGTGCTGACAACTCAGAGCCTGGAGCCTGCTTTGGATTCTGTGTCTCCCTCTCTCTCTGCCCCTCCCCTACTTGCGCTCTCTCTCTTTCTCAAAAGTAAATAAACATTTAAAAAACTTTAAACCCATATTCACTTTGGGACCTGGTTTTGAATTTGTAATTTTGTGTTCTCTGTAAACAGAATCCCAAAATTCTCAAAAGCTGACTCCTACTCTTGAGATGGAAACAGTCATTCTGGGGAGGAATCTAATGACACTTAGTCCAATTAAGTGTAAGCATTTGTTGTGACCCAGAAATTCCAATCCCGGGTACATGTTCCAAAGAAATCCTCCTTTTCCAAAAGGAATATGCGTGGGGATATCATATGCTGGAGAGTTTGGTGTGCACAAATAAATATGGATGAGTGTTGAAAACCAGTGCTCACTATAACTGTATCACCACTTTGGAAAACAGTTTGATGGGGTTTTTGTTTTGTTTTGTTTTGTTTTTAGTTTGATGGTTTCTTAAAAATTTAGACACACACTTACCATACAATCCGGTGATTTCATGCCTACATATTTATCCAAGATAAAGAAAGGGCTATGTCTACACCAAATAGTGCGCAACACATTTTCATAGCGGTTTTATTTATTCACGAGTAGAAACAACCTAAAAATCCATCAAGTAGCAAAGAAATAAATGGCGGTATGTCCATATAATAGAACACTACTCAGAAGTAAAGAATTAATGGATACTACACACAGTACACAGGACTCTAAAAAGTGAGTGAAAGAAGCCAGATAAAAAGAGACTATACTGAATAAATCTATTTGTATGAAACTCTAGAAAAGATTAATCTACAGTGACCAAAAAAAAAAAAAAAAAACCCACCACCACCACCACCAACAGCAAAAAAGTATCAGTAGTTGCCTAGGGCTGTTGGGAGGGGGTGGGCATTGACTGAGATGGGACAATAGGGAACTTTCCGGATGATGAAAATGTTCTATACACAGATGTCAAAACTCATCAAAATGTATACACTTAAAATGGGCCCATTTTATACATAAATTATGCTTAAAATTGCAGTAAAGTTGACTTCTCTAAAAACTAGTGCTAATTTTAAAAAGCAACAGAACGAAATATATGACCTAAAACCACTATGTAAAATAAAAATACATACACTTTTTTTAATCTTTTTTTTTAAATTTTTAATCTTTATTTATTTTTGAGAGACAGAGTGTGAGCAGGGGAGGGACAGAGAGAGAGGTAGACGCAGAATCCGAAGCAGGCTCCAGGCTCCAAGCGGTCAGCACAGAACCCAATGCAAGGCTTGTACTCACAAACCATGAGATCATGACCTGAGCTGAAGTCGGACACTTAATCAACTGAGCCACCCAGGTGCCCCCAAAATACATACGCTTTAAAAAGGTACATATTCACACATGGAAAGAGTTGCTTGTGCAGGACACGGATAGGAATTGATTGTAGGGATAGAAATCAATACATCAGTAAAAGCATCAGCCATAACACCAACGCTGAGAGGAGCCTGGGTGGCTCAGTCGGTTAAGTGTCCAACTCTTGATTTCGGCTCAGGTCATGATCCCAGGATTGTGGGATGGACCCCCATGTGGGGCTCTACACTGAGCATGGGGCCTGCTTAAGATTCTCTCTCTCCCTGCCCCACCCCTCTCCCCCACTTGTTCTCTCTCACTGTCTTTAGAATTAAAAAAAAAAAAATCAACAATGCCAAATTTGCTGTGAATAATTAACTGGATCCTTGAAACAGAGCTAAAAGAAATAAAAAAAAGGGGGCTATTTGATAAGAGGCTTTCTTCTAAGGATCACTAGTGAGGAAATCAGCCCTCTGGACTGGAACTCATTTCCTTTCCTTCCAGAAAAGGTAGCTAAGGCCCAGGGCAAAACAAAAGGCACAACTCCCTCCATTCTTGAGGAGAGAGGTTGTTTCTAGAGTCTTGAAAGACTGGAGAGAAAGTAGAGAGCAACTCGTGGGAGCCCCATTCTTGCAGAAACCTGAGTTTAGAAGGAACTTCATTTGTACATCAAAAGAACTTTTAAAAGACACAGAGTTTCTCCTACACTAAACTGTTTCGAGATCTACCTCTCCTGCAGTAAAGAACTTTATCATAATATACAAAATGGAGTATTACTTGGCCATCAAAAAGAATGAAATTGGGGCACCTGGGGGGCTCAGCTGGTTAAGCGTCTGACTTCGGCTCAGGTCATGATCTCATGGTTCGTGGGTTTGAGCCCCTCATCAGGCTCTGTGCTGACAGCTCAGAGCCTGGAGCCTGCTTTGGATGCTGTGTCCCCCCCTCTCTCTCTCCCCCACTCATGCTCTATCTCTCTGTCTCTCTCTCTCTCTCAAAAATAAACAAACATTAAAAAAAAATTTTTTTTTAAAGAATGAAATCTTGCCATTTGCAACAACATGGATGGAACTAGAGTGTATTATGCTAAGCAAAATTAGTCAGAGAAAGACGAATATCATATGTCTTCTTCACTCATATGAGGAATTTAAGATACAAAACATGAACATAAGGGAAGGGAAGCAAGAGTAATATGAAAAACAGGGAGGGGGACAGAACATAAGAGACTCTTAAATATAGAGAACAAACTGAGGGTGGGGGGGGATGGGCTAAATGGGCAAGGGGCATTAAGACACTTGTTGGGATGAGCCCTGGGTGTTATATACATAGGGGATGAATCACTAGATTCAATTCCTGAAATCATTCTTGCCCTGTATGCTAACTAACTTGGATGTAAATTAAGAACTTCACCATAACCCTGCATGTTTGTTCTCGTGGATGCCGATTCGCAGAATAAGTGGCCTAAAAAGGAATGACCGGAACCCATTATACGAATTATTTAGCAGAATCAGCACTGGTTTTCAGCAGTAGAGGAGACCCTCATAAAAGGCTGCGTCCCCTCTACATTTTTGCTTCATTGCAGTCTCTGGGGGTGGGGACATTGGAGGGAGGTGAGGAAAGAGGATGAAGCTACTGGCCACAGGAGGCTTGGAGACCTTCTGGCTTTCTTTCTATTACATTCCAGCTCTCTGGCTCCTGGTGCCATGTGTAATTAGCAATGGCAGTGGATATGCTGGTGTTTCTTCTTCAAGTTACTTGAAAGGATGTAGGGCCAGTGTGGGGGAATTAAAAAAAAAAAAAGCTTTGGAACCAAACAAATCCAGGTTTAAATCCTCACTTTACCATTTATCATCCACGTGACTTTTAAGTTTTTATTTAAATTCCAGTTAACATACAGT